AACCCAGGATAGCCAAAACAATCCTATACGATAAAGGTTCTTCTGGAGGCATTACCATCCCTGACTTCAAACTCTATTACAGAGCTACAGTAATGAAAACAGTGTGGTACTGGCATAAAAACAGAAAAGTCGACCAATGGAATCCTATAGAAGACCCAAATTTTAACCCACAAACCTATGATCAACTCATTTTCGATAAAGGAGCTAAAAGTATACAATGGAAGAAAGAAAGCATCTTCAACAAATGGTACTGGCACAACTGGATGTCAACCTGTAGAAGAATGAAAATAGACGGATATCTATTACCATGCACAAAACTCAAGTCCAAATGGATTAAAGACCTCATTATCAGTCCGAGCACACTGAACCTGATAGAAGAGAAAGTGGGAAGTACCCTACAACAGATGGGCACAGGAGATTGCTTCCTATGTATAACCCCAGCAGCACAGACATTAAGGATCTCATTGAATAAATGGGACCTCCTGAGACTGAGAAGCTTCTGTAAAGCAAAGGACACTGTCGCTAAGACACAAAGGCAACCTACTGACTGGGAGAAGATTTTCACCAACCCCGCAAAAGACAAAGGTCTGATCTCCAAAATATATAAAGAACTCAAGAAACTAGACCGTAAAAGGCTAATCAACCCAATTATAAAATGGGGCACTGAGCTCAAACAGAAGAAGTTCAATGGCCAAAAGAAACTTAAGGTCATGCTCAACTTCCTTAGCGATCAGGGAAATGCAAATCAAGACAACTTTGAGATACCATCTTACACCTGTCAGAATGGCTAAAATCAAAAACACCAATGATAGCCTTTGCTGGAGAGGCTGTGGAGGAAGGTCTCCCCTCATCCATTGCTGGTGGGAATGCAATCTTGTGCAACCACTTTGGAAATCAGTGTTTCAGTTTCTCAGGAAATTCGGGATCAACCTATCCCTGGACCCAGCAATACCACTCTTGAGAATATACCCAAGAGATGCCCTATCATATGACAAAAGCATTTGTTCATCTATGTTCATAGCAGTATTATTTGTAATAGCCAGAACCTGGAAACAACCTAGATACCCTTTAATGGAAGAATAGTTGAAGAAAGTGTGGAATATATACACTTTAGAGTACTACGCTGCGGTAAAAAACAATGACTTCTCGAATTTTGCATGCACATGGATGGAAATAGAAAACACTATCCTGAGTGAGGTAACCCAGACCCAAAAAGATGACCATGGGATGTACTCACTCATAATTGGATTCTAGCCATAAATAAAGGTCATGGAGTCTATAATTGGTGATCCTAAAGAAGCTAAATAAGAATGTGAACCCAAAGAATAACATATAGTTATCCTCCTGGCCAAGGGAAGTAGACAAAATTGCCCGGGGGGGAAATTGGGATCTTGGGGGTGGGGTGGGATGGCATGGGGGTAAGGGGAGATGGGGAAAGAAAAATGAGAAGGGGAGGATGAGGGAAACTTGGGGAAACAGGATGATTGGGATAAAGGAAGGTTGGATAGGGGAGCAGTGAAGCACAAATCTTAGTTAAGGGAGCCACCTTAGGGTTGGCAAGAGACTGGAACCTAGAGTGGCTCCCAGGAGCCCAGGGCGATGTCCCCAGTTAGTTCCTTGGGCAGCTGAGGATAGGGAACCTGAAAAGACCCTATCCTATAGCAATACTGACGAATATGTTGCATATCACCATAGAACCTTCATCTGGTGATGAATGGAGATTGAGACAGAGACCCACACTGGAGCACCAGACTGAGCTCCCAAGGTCCCAATGAGGAGCAGAAGGAGGGAGAACATGAGCAAGGAAGTCAGGACCACAAGGGGTGCACCCACCCACTGAGACAGTGGGGCTGATCTTTTGGGAGCTCACCAAGGCCAGCTGGACTGGAACTGAAAAAGCATGGGATAAAACTGGACTCTGATGAGAAGCCAAGGACAATGGCATGGGGTTTTGATCCTACTTCATGTTCTGGTTTTGTGGGAGCCTAGCCAGTTTGGATTTTCACCTTCCTAGACATGGAGGGAGATGAGAGGTCCTTGGACTTTCCACAGGGCAGCGAACCCTGACTGCTCTTTGGACTGGAGAGGGAGGGGGAGAGTAGTCGGGGAGGGGAGAAGGGTGGGAGGAGGGGGAGGGAAATGGGAGGATGGGAAGAGGTGGAAACTTTTTTTCCTTTTCTCAATAAAAAAAGATAAAATAGAATTTGGATTAGAAGAGCAGTTGAATGTGGGGATTAATGCACCATCCTATTAAGAACATGGAAGACAGTAGTGTCATTTGAACTGTGGGAGCCTGGCTCAAGAGGTTTCAGAAGAGAAAAAAAATTGTATATGGTCTAGACTATTCCTGTAATGGCCATGTGGCTGCTTTGGTGAAGAACATGTCTGATTTTTGCCCTTGTCCAAAAAAATCTGCCTGAGACTAAACTGCAGTTTTGGCTTAATTGCATTTGCAGAGAAAATTTCAAAAGAGCCTAGTGTCAACTATCATGTGGTTTTTAGTGGTCATGCTTATAAAGATCTATAATAAAAAAGAGCAAGCTGAGCAAAAAAAAAAAATTACAAAACCAACAATTTCAGGAGAAATGGGTACAGGAAGTGGAATGGAGCTAAATCTTGTGTTTAAGAAGATAAACAGATTAAAGAAAATTGGGATGTTAAATGGAATAAACACAGTTAAGCTTCCAATTGTAAAAAGGAATTAAGCAGCAGTTTGGATCCAGGTATGGTATATAGGCCTTTAATCCCAGCACTCAGGATACAGAGGCCGGGGATCCCCAAGTTCAATGTCAGACTGGACTATAGAGCAAACTCCAGGAGAGCCAAGTTTAGGCAGTGAAGGTATCAAGGAATACAGAAAGTTGTCAAGGGGGCCATGTTCCAGCCCTAGCAACCAGAACTTGTCAGTTTGGGCCATGTGGTTCTGGCTTTACAGTCAAGGATACAAGTAAGAGATTATAGACTCTCCCTTGTAGATGGAGCTGCAGGCTGTGTTCCTGCCACCCAGCTCCAAGCAGCCAGGCTAGCTAATGCCCCAAAATAACAACACACAAACTGTATTCATATAAACACTGCTTGGCCCATTTCTATTAATGTATGTAGCACCACGAGATGGTGACTTACCAGGGAGATTCTAGCCTACGTCCATCTTGGGTCGGAGCTTCATGGCATCTGCCCCAGAGAGGAGAGGAAAATGGCGTCTGAGCTCACTTCCTCTTCCTCCCAGCATTCTGTTCTGTTTACTCCACCCACCTATGTTCTAACCTATCAAATGGGCAAAGGCAGTTTGATTATTAACCAATGACCTTCCTCCATCACTCCCTCTTAAAGTAAGGAAAGCTGCTAAAATCAGGCATGTGGCAGGGATGTCCCTGATTGGAGGCCCAGGGAGGGTATTGTATGAAGATGCATGGATTGCCTTGAAGACCCCAAGATGTTGGAGATGCCAAAGCTGTGGGATACCTGACAAGGAAAGCTGCTAACAGGGAATGTAAACAGCCCAAGTAAAAGATGTATGGTTGCAGTCAACAAAACTAAAAGAAGTTGGAGATCTGAAGTGTTTTGACATCAGACACGAAGATGCAAAGTTTGAAGTTTGTTCAGCTGGTTTGGACCTTGTTTTTGTCCCGTATTTCCTTATTACGTTCTCTTCCTACATTTTGAAATGGCAATGTATATTTTGTGCCATTGTATTTGGAAATATGTGATCTGTTTTTTTTATTTTGATTTTACAATGGATTATAGTTAAAAGATTGCATGAGTCTCAAAAGAGACCGAATGCTGTACTTTTAAACATTGGAACTATTATAGAGTATAGAGCCTTTTGAAGTTTGACTGAATGAATTCTTTGCATTTTGTTATGGCTAAAATCCTATGGGGGTCAGGGAATGAATGTGGTGGTTTGAATGGGAATGGTCCCACATACTCTTGTGTTTAAGTACTTGGCCCCAAGGGCCCCAAGCACTATTAGGAGGTGTGGCCTTGTTGGCAGAGGTGTGTCACTGTGAGGACAAGCTTTGAGATCTCATATGCTTAAACTATGCCCAGTGTGGGACACAGACTCCTGTTGCCTATGGGTCAAGATGTGGATCAGCTCCTTCTCCAGCACTATGTCTGCCTGCTTGCTGCCATGCTGCTTCTCACCATGACAATAATGGACTAAACCTCTGAAACTGTAAGCCAGAACCAATTAAATGTTTTTCTTTGTAAGAGTTGCTGTGTTCATGGTGTCTCTTCACAGCAATCGGAATCCAAACTAAGACACGGTATGAAAAAATTTTTAATTAAAACAAGGGGGGAGGATCAGTATAAGTAATATGTTTGGTATGTAGCTCAAAGTCTAGCAAAGTCTAGGTTCCCTAACCCACTTCCAACATGGTTTCTACCCATGCTGTATCCTTAAATAATAGTTTCAGACAGGCAAATTTCTTTCTAAGGTAGAAGCTTTTAATAGAATTATAAAAAAATAAAACTATTTCAAAATCAGGATAAGGAATTACAGGTATGTTTTCCCTCTACATACCCGTATTCAAACATGATTTCTAGCCATTCATAAGTTAATGAGGAACAAATACAGAATCAAAGTAGTGTCAACAGAAGTGTTGTATTAAAGCTATCATCCTAGAAAACAGGAAACACAAAGTGAACTTGTGCAGTCATTTCCAGCTCATTGTGCAGAGAAAGCACTTTACTGTCATAAACTACCATCAGGACACTGCAGGCAAATCAGAAAGCCCTTTGCTTTCAGAATTCAAAAGTTTAATCATTCTGAAGGGGCAAAGACAAAAATATACTGCTGTATAAAGATCAGCCACTTACTGCAGAATTTCTCTGAACTTCAGATTCTAAAGTAAGAAGTTACCATTTCATATTCTTGTAGATATTAGGTTAAGCAAATGATTCCCCTAACCATAACACACAGCTACTTCTATCATTTCAACACCATTTTACTGATGTAGAGGGCATTTCCCCCATCTCTCAGTCTCAAATGACTGTTCTTCACTTTAAAAAAAAAATCAATCAACAATTTATTGGGTCACCATCATGGACTACTGTCACCATTTGGCACTGGTATAATTTTTACTAGCTTCTGCCACTCTCTTATATAACATTTCAGTGTATGACTGAAATGGCAAGCTCTCTATTCAAACTACAACAACAGATTTAAAGAAGGGGGACCTAAAGCTTTCCAATTGCTTATTCATTCTTGAGGGGGGACTGACTTTCAAAGTGATTCATTTTATACAATCTCAGATAATCCCAGGATTACTTCTAAGTCTCATTCTACTGATTGACAACACCATGGATATAAAGTACCTACAATCTCCACCACTCCCTATATTCAATAAACTACACAGTAATGTCTTACAGTTAATATGCTTTTGGCCATTTAAACATCTACGCACATAAATATCTGAAGCTTTAATATTCAAAAACTTTAGAAGATAGCTATAGGTGCACAGTTAGGCCAGGGATAGGTTTCTCAAACTTGGTACTAGTGATACTTTGGGTTGGGTAATTCTTTCCCGTGAAGAGGAAAGCCAGGCATTACATGGTATTTAGCAGAGCCTGTAGCCTCTACTGATGTCAGTAGAAGCCTACACCCATCTACATTGACCACCAAAAAACATCTCCCCACAATCCCAAATGTCTTCTGGGAGCCCAAACTCCACTTGAGAATCACTGGGTGGGCCCTTCACTGTAGACATTATTGCAAACTTGGGGCGCACAAATAAGACAGGACTCTATGCAGTATTACTAATGTGAAAGTCTAGCAGATCCTCTGCTATTTGTTTATGGTGGGCACAGGGTTTATACAATATACTATTGAACTACATGGCTACCTATGTGTTACTATCTTTTTTTCCTACTAAAAACACTAACATCAGACTGGGGTGGCGATGGGGTAGCTAATTCACCAACTACATTTACATGGACTGATGAGGAAAGCTACAGTTCATAAACCTTTGCTAAGCAGAGGATGGAGAAGAGTCAAGGCAAATGCCCTTCTTTCTGAATTCGCAGTCTCTCCTTCTCCACCTGCAAGCGCTCCTTTTCGATCTGCAGCTTCTCAGACTCAAACTTCAAAAACTGCAGCCGATCTTTCTCCAGCTGCAGGCGCTCTCGCTCGAGTTTCAACTTCTCTGCTTCTATGTCCTGTGGCTGTAATATGGACTTCTCCCCCTGGCCAAGATCGTTCTCTAGGGCGGGTTTCTCAGCGCTAACCAACTGCAGCCTCCACTTCTCTCTCTCGATCTGCAGCCGCTCTTTCTCCAGCTGCAGGCGCTCGTGCTCCAGGTCCAGGTGGCGCAGGCGCTCCTTCTCTATTTGGAGCCGCTCCTTTTCCACCTGCAGCCTTTCTGCCTCAATATCCAGTCGGCGTTTTTCCAGCTCCAGTTTCTGTTTCTCTATATTCATGAGCAGATGAGGCTCATCATATGCGGGTCTGGACGGTGTGGAATTGAGGGTGAAAAACTCGTCAATGTGAGGGAAGTCAGGGAGCTCACTTTCCCTCCTGGAATCTGGTATGACAGATGACAACATTTCTTCCTCTTCCTCAATCTCAAACTGAGAGAAAAGAAAAAGGACAATTTGGTATTTGCTTTTACTTCTATCATTGTCAATTTGCTACATTATTAGCTTTTAATAATTATTATTTCATTTATTACTTATTTGTTTATGTGTATGTCTCGATTCAGGTGAATGAAGGCCATAGTACATTTATGGAGGTCAAAGGACAGTGTTTGTTTCATAATTTCCACCACGTTGAAGCAGGGTCTTTTAGTGTTTTACTGTGAGGCAAACTCCAGGCTAGCAGACTGGAGGCTTCAGGTCTATTCTTCTGGCACTGGCATTTGAGTGCTGGGATTAGAGATACATGCCACAGCACTTAGAATTAACAGGGATTCCAGGGATGTCAGGCTCAGACCATTTACCCACTGAACCATTTCCCCAGCCCTGCCTTACTAATTGACAACTTTCTATGCTGTTTGAGCACATAAAACTACTTAATCTGAACTATTGAGATTAAATGAATCACCTGGATGTCATCACTGATACCTCACATGTCACCATCACATTTAGGTGAAAAGACAGGCATTAAGGACACCAGGAGAAACAGAATGACTGGTATCTATAACCTGTGAATTTGAAGATATGGGAGCTTCCTCAGCATGTGTGGGCAGCTGACCACAAAAACATGCCTCACGGGTTAATACTGTGAATATACTTACCTCTGGGCTTTGTGGGTCCCTTTCTTCCTCCTCCACTTTGACCTCTGTTAGGGATCCACCTGCATCTCGGAAATCAGCCACATTCTGCCAGTCAAAATTTGCATCATTTCGGAATGCAATTTTTTCATCTATCTCTTCAGTGAGAGAATCGTCTAAATCAGACGTGGGTAGAGGAAACCCAGAACCAACCAGCTTCATGTTGGCCTTCATTCTCTTCCTTTTCATGAGTGCACGCCAGTCAAGGTACCGTCTCTTCACCTCAGTCCCCGTCCTCTGTTCGCCTTCTCCTACAGCGTTTACACACTGTGCAATCTCCTCCCAGGCCATTCGCTTCATCACATTTATTGTTGTGTTGAGTTGCTTGGAAAAAATGACTTCCTTCCTTTTGGAAATTTCTTTCAAAAGGGTCTGAGTTTCCTGAACACTAAAATTGCTTTTCCTTTTCCTTTTCAACTGCTTCATTTTTAAAACTTCAGGGCAGGTTTTAATAGCAGGAAAACTTGTGCAAAGAATGCAGAGTATGCTCCAAAGAACGAAGCCCAAGAACAACCCCTTGTCGGCTCTTAGCTAAAAAATCACTGAGTTTCCATTCATCTAGTCATGGAAGCAGTTTGATATCTGAAGGAGAAATGTAAAAGAGAGAAAAAAAATCAACCTAGAATTTCCACAACATACTGCAATCAGTGAGCTGTATGATTAAAACAACTATCTAAAGGCAGCTTGAAACCATTGGCTCACTACCATGGCTCAAATACACTCTGAAATTTGATTCTGCCTCAGTTTACCTCAACACACCTCTTAACTATCACAATCTGGGCTCATTGTATGAAAATATTTCTTCAGGAATTCACAACGCAAAGAGTATCCCCCACTGAAGCAAAAATACAACAAATATACTAAATTGAATCAGGAACCTGCAAGTCTACTGCTGTTTGAGCTTTCTCTTTTATAGTAATAAGTATATGCTAAACCTCATTTTTAAAATTTAATAACAAAGCATTTTGTTACCATTCATAAACTTTTATTTTGTATTTTTCTAGCTTCAAGGATCTCTAAAGAACCAACTGTGCATGCTTACTTACATCATCAAAAGTATGCCCATCCCATCTTTTAGCCTCCCATTTAATATGCCTATTGTGTGAAATCTTCCAAAGAGTCACTTTCTGAACAAATGGAGGCCACAGAGAACTAAATGTTCTAAAGAATAGAAATGAACTTGCAAAAATCCCCATCAGTTTCACAAATACCAAAAAAAAAACCAAGTCTGCAAAACCAAAAGATGACTATAAGCATAGTAGTTTTAAAATACACTTTGTAAATTTCTAAAGATATTTAATGATATATTGAAGCCCAGTGATTTCAAATGTATAATTAACACCAGCATGCTAGTAGTATCCTTACAGTCTGGTGTGGGAGAATTGTTTATATTCTGTCAATTATGTTTTAAATAAATGCTGATTGGCCAGTAGCCAGGCAGGAAATATAGGCGGTACAACCAGACAGGAAGTAGAGGTGGGACAATGAGAACAGGAGTATTCTGGGAAGAAGGAAGCTCCTTCCCACAGTCCTGCCCAGACCATGGAAGAAGCAAGATGTGACCTGCCCCGCTGAAAAAGGTACTTAGCCATGTGGCTAACATAGATATGAATAATGGGTTAACATAAGATATGAGCTAATACAAAGCCTGAGCTTATGGGCAATCAGTTCATAACTTATGTAGAACTCTGGGTGATTTTTCTTTGGGCCATAACAACTGTGGGAACCAGGCAGGACAGAAACCCCAATAAGCAGGCCCTTATTGTTACAACAGTCAAATGTAAGCCTTTTGTGAATGAAATTTAAGAAAAAATGTTTATAAATTATTGAAAGACAATGTAAACTATCATTATGAGCACAGATTCTGGAGTTAGACTCCCTGGACCAGAAAACTAGATCTGATACAGGAATGGAACTCCAAGACTGATTTCAGACTCAGGTAGGCAAGAGAGTCTAAATTCCAGACCTGTATACATAGTGAGGCTTTTCTCAAAATATATACAACATTAAAGTCCTTAATATAATAATGACTACCATTAACAACACACTCTTATACAGTATCCACCCTTAGATTTTACTGCTCTTAAAAATTCAAGATCAATTTACTTTTTACTAACTAGATTTGTTTTTTGTTTTGAGAGGCAGAGTTAACAGCCCTAGATGTCCCGAAACTCACTTTTGTATACCAGGCTGGCCTTAAACTCACAGAGATCTGGCCTGTCTCTGCCTCTGAAATGCTGGGATTAAAATCGTGTACCACCACATACAGCTAACTGGACTGCTCTAACAATATTACTAAATGGCATAAATAGCAGCCCTTTTAACCTACATAATCTATGTGAGTTTTTTGTTTTGTTTTTTTGTCATCAATGCTGTTTTGGTTTTTGTTTGATTGTTTTTTGAGACAGGGTTCCTCTGTGTAATAATCCTGGCTGTCCTAGAACTCACTTTGTAGACCAGGTTGGTCTTAAACTCACTGAGATTTGCCTACCTTTGCCTCCCAAGTCCTGGGATTAAAGACCTCCGCCACCACCACCTTGCAAATCTATATGTTTTAAAACTCCTCAATGTTGCTTCCAACTGCATACCCTTTCACCCAAAAATGGTTCTCACATCTATAGTTTATATACTATTCATAGTTGGCATCCCTTTGTTTCCTTCCAACTGAGCTATGCTGAGCTAATGAACTATTTCATTGACAAAATAAATTTCCCTGCATTTTGTGTTGGCTGCTCTTAGCTGCCAACTTGATTACATCTGTAATTAACTAAAACTCAAAAATGGAGGGTACACCTGTAATGTATTTCTGCTTAATTTGACAGGGGAAGATCCAATCTGAATTTTGAGAAGATATGCCTCTAATCCATATGCTTTGAGCTGCGAAACCTACCTCTAATCTGGACCGCACTTCTGCTGGAAGCCTGCATAAGGACATAGAAGTAGGAAGCGTTTGCTTTTTGCCTCCTTGCTCTTACCTCCCTAGCAGGTCCATTCCTTCACCGGCATTAGAGCCTACTTCAGGATTCTGGTGCATACTGAAGACCAGCTGTGACACCCAGCCTTGTGGCCTGAGCAGCTCCAGATTCTTGGACTTTCCATTCATAGTTAGCCACTGTTGATTAAGCGAGACTACAGGGAAAACTTTTACCTGAGGCTTTGACATGACTAAATGCAAGAAAGTTTGAGCATCAGTACAGTTGGAGGTAAAATTTGTTAGCTGCTATTTTATTGTGACTGAGTCTGTCTGTCTGCCCGTTCCATTCTTTGCATTATGGTACCGTGTATGAGAGGTTTGGCTTTTCTTTACCCACTCCCAAGTAAGTTCCTCAAAAGTATTTACTGAGCTCCTACCATGCCTAAAGCAGCACTCAGGTTGTCAGGAATATAACAGGTAATAAAATGCTTAAGTAAGCCATTTCTGATTTCAAGCACTCTTCTCCTTTGTTGTTTTCATCCTGTTCTTACATCAAGGAATTTGGCAGTCACAACCTCTAAATCTCAGAACCCTAATGTCCAATCACAGACAACAGTTGTTTTTCTGGTCTGGCCTTTCATCCCCAACCATTCTTTACTGTTGGGAAATGGAAATGCTGCACTGTGCACTCACGTAACTACCAGTGACATACAGTGTTAGAGTGGGACATTTCCCTCCTAAGGACTAACAAGGAAGATGATCTTTCTAGGATGTGCCTCACACAGAACTAAGAGATCTGAGAGAAATCAGACAGTAAGATCTAGGTGAAAAAAGAAAAATATAAGAGAGAAAGAAAAAGATTAAATTCACTAAACAGGTAAGAAAGAAACCACTCCTGATCCACAAACTTCCCTCCACCACTACCCCACCACAATCTCATTTCAAGAGTGAAGTCAATATTCGTACAGGAAATATCCCCAATATTCTTACAGGAAAACTACTTTTCTTCCTCTAAAACTTGAGGCAGTAAACACAAATGAAGTTTACAAGGATCTCCATCTAGGGAGTACTACAGTGGGAAGGTGCAGCCGAGGACCCTGGGAAGAATGCTGGGGATCTCATCTCGGAGCAGAGAGCAGGGTGGGGGAAGGTGCTATGACTCGGGGCACTGCTGGGCCCAGTTGGAGTCCGTGCAACTTGGAGGGATACTCTTGCTCCCTGAATGTGAGTGAAAGCCTCATCAAGGTGCCCAGCACTTCTGCAGAGGCCAAGGGCTGCTACCCCTTCTCCCTGGTCAGGTGACAGCCGCGCTTGGGACTTTTCTTCGCAGCCCCGTGATCCCGTGCTTTGCAAAACCGAGGCCAAAGCCCGCAATGAGGTCGCCCCACAGGGATCCACCTTTGCAGAGGCTCCCTTGGTTACTCCAGCTCTTTGTTTCCCCTGCACCCCAACACTCACCTGCGACCCCAGCGGCACCATCACAGGATCGCCCCCTGAGGGTGCTGAAAAAAGAGGCTTCGTGGAGTCCCCGCCCATCAACTTCTGCCTGCCTCTATTGGCCGATAGGGCTGCTCCTCATGGGTTACGGCTAACCCATTGGTCCGGGGGTGGGGAATTGCCTGTCTGCCTGAGAGCCCGCCCCAGGCCAGGTCTCACAATGGGAATCGAGTCCCAAACCGGTTCCGGGTTAGTGCTCTGGACACCGCCCCGCAGCGATTCGCCTCCCTCTCAGCGCTCACTCTTTGTCACGTGGCATTGTCAATCAAGCGTGCTTCAGCAAAGGATTGGTCCCTAGCGATAAACTCGCCACGCCACTCGCCTGATTGGGGCACTGGCGGCTCCGTCTCCAAACTGTACTCCGGCCCTTGACCCTCAGCGAAGCAAAGTAGAGCCACTTGGGTCACCTCAGGCCAATCCCTGGGCCAGCATTTTCTTCTACTCACCTTGCTGTGACCTCCGTTAACCTCGAACTGTGACAGTGTCTTTTGCTTCTTGAATCTAAGGATCTCTTACTTTTGACCTCAAATGGAACAGTTGGCTTGTGGACAGTTTCTTCAGTGTTTTCTGTCTTCTCAACCCCTTTTCCTTTTAAGCCCCCCAGGGCTAATACCTCCATTGACATTCTTATAGAACCTGACTTCCCTGTGCTTTGGTTCAAGCATCTTCAGTTCTCCCTGAATAATACCAATGCCCATCCTCCCATAGCCCAGTTAAAAAATTAGTCCAGTTGAGTAGCTGAGTCCAATTGAGAAGCATACAGTTCCTGGACAAATCTCCCTAATTTTAGGACAAAGTGCAAACTTTTTTTTTTTTTTTTGATTTTTCGAGACAGGGTTTCTCCGTAGCTTTTGGTTCCTGTCCTGGAACTAGCTGTTGTAGACCAGGCTGGCCTTGAACTCCCAGTGATCCGCCTGCCTCTGCCTCCCGAGTGCTGGGATTAAAAAGTGCAAACTTCTTAGGAGGCTTTCAAAAATCCCAATCCTGCTTTTCTCTCGGACTTAATAACATAATTTTCCTATTGCTTCCCCAGCTCTTTACTGCCCTAGATTCTAGACTCCTCAGTGCCTTGGGACTATCTTTGTCTTGCTGTGTTTCCACCCAGAAAGGCTTTTCCCAAGGGTTCCCAAGCTCAGAATTCATTTTGGCAATTACTTTCTAAAACAAGCCTTCCTTTTCAGTTACTTGCTGCTACTTCATTTACCCTCCAATAAAGATTTGCAAGATGAAAAAGGACATTACATTAAACTTGAATAACAATTTCAGTGTGACGTCCATGTTTTTATTTGTTGACTCTGACAACAGTGTCCAACTGAGATAGCATTGCAACCTTTGTCCTTGACCTTACAGCTCTTTCTTTGCAAAGCAAAGCATGTAGCATATAATAGGCATTTTAAAAGGTGTAAATACATGATAAAACATTATGTATGAATGACAAATCCTTAAAGGTTATTTCTAGAAGAATACTTCCATAAATGAGGAAGTAATTATGAAATATGTTTTTTGAAGATTAATGGTCAGTTTAAAGATTTTACTTATGGTTACTTATGGCTGTCTTTTTAAAAAATCATATTTATTATTTTTCCCTAAGTAGAATGAAATTGACTTTTTTCTCTTCTTCTTCTTCTTCTTCTACTTCTTCTTCTTCTTCTTCTTCTTCTTCTTCTTCTTCTTCTTCTTCTTCTTCTTCTTCTTGTGTGTGTGGGTTTTTTTGGTTTTTTTTTTCCAGACAGGGTTTCTCTGTGTAATAGCCCAAGCCCTGGAACTAGCTCTTGTAGACCATGCTGGCCTCGAACTCACAGAGATCCTCCTGCCTCTGCCTCCAAGGCATGCACCACCACTGTCTGGCTATAAAACTGACTTTTGCCATATTGGGAGAGATACAGATACTTTGGTTTTTGAAATTTTTGCAACAAATCCCTTTATGTAGAGGAAGCAGCTGTCCTGGAACTTTATAATCCCCCTGCCTCAGTACTACCATAAACACCTGACCAAAAACTTCTATTCTGTACAGCAGGAATAAAAGTCCTCACCTCAGAGTTCACTCTAGTGGGTGATTCAGCACTATTTATCAGGTCAGCAATGCTGGATTACCCCAGATATCCATTGTGTTTACTCCATCTCTTTACCAATCTCCATGGAAGTCATGGAAGTACTACATTTGTAAGTTAGGTTATTAATTTGTATTTTACCTGAGTTCTTTGTTTGTAGGCAGTGGAAATGACTATGATCAACACACAAAATACAGAAGTGAGCAAGGTCCAGAATTTGCCTAGAAAGCTTGCCTTTGACGACTTACATTTTTGCTGTTCTTAAGGGTAAGAGACATGATTGCTCACAAGATTTTGTTTATTTTTTCAGCTATAGAAGCAATGTGCCAAAATGTATTTTTTTTCTGTAGAAAGATAGCTAAGAGACACAGAAAAAAGTGGGGAGAAAAGCACTGAGTGTGATTCACTAATAAATACAAAGTATTTTTTAATCTATCCCCTCAAGCACCTGAAAAACATCTTTCTACTGCTTGACTCATTACACACACACACACACACACACACACACGTATGTATGTATATAAGTAGTATTATATATCTACTGCTTGACACACATATGTGTATGTGTGTTTGTGTATGCATATATGTAGCAGGCTTTTTCTTTTGGGTCACCGACCAGCTCCTAGATCATGACATGGAGACTTATTATTAGTTATAAATGCTCAGCCTTTGTGTACACTATTTTTGACTAGCTTTTTTTTTTACTTAAATTAACCTGTTACTCTTCATCTACATTTTGCTTCAGAAAATTTTAGCATTCTTTCTGTGTGTCCTACTCTGTGTCTGCTGGCTGACCCTAGGTGTCTCCTTCCCTTTCTCCCTCATTCTTCTTCTTCCTCTCATTCTTCTCTAACCTAGATTTCTCCTCCTATTTAATCTTTCTGTCTGTCAGCCCCACCTGTCCAGCTCCTTCCTAGCTATTGGCTGTTCAGTTTTTTATTAGACCAATCAGGTAAAACAGCAACACCTTTACATAATTAAAGAGATGCAGAATAAGCAAATGTTTATTAACATCTTTACATCATTACCAAAGGCAGCAGAGCCAGATGGTGGTGGAACATACCTTTAATCACAGCACTTGGGAAGCAGAAGTAGGTAGATCTCTGAAATTTAAATTGCAGCTATCAAAGTCAAGTGTGGGGGATCCTGATATTTAGTTTTGAAAAAATTCTGAGCTCATAAAAAGATAAAATAGAAGATGATTTTATCAGCACACTTTAGCATATAGTCCTTTAATATCTGTTCTCAGGGCATTATCATTAATGGTGACTTTCATCTTGTCTATTACTGATCAACTTGTGACTCCATCATGTCTCCAGTAGCAGACAGTTTTCTCCACTCTATTCTTCCCTCTCCCTAAAGTCATATTCTCTTACTTCAATTAGTGTGCTGTTATTCATGGAATCATTTGATTTATCTCACAACTTCCAAAAGACAAAAACTCAGCAAAATAGACTCCTTTCTCATTTTCTTAATATCTCTGATTCCCAATCGGAAATTTATCCCTAGCCATTTCTTTTTAATGTATTCATTTTTGTGTGATATTGAATTCTACACTGCCCTCTCCATCACTTTAGTTTCTAAACGTTACCTACTTTTCTACATTATTAGAATATGTACAATCAAAGTCTGCATATAGATAATAATTTACTAGATTTAAAAGTATTCTGGTTTCCAGCCAGAAATTTGAAGATAGATAAGTAGGCCATGTAATATTTTCTTAAACACCCAAATCCCTCAAAACCTCAAGCAACTTTTTTACTAATATTTTGTGACTCTGATTTTCCAAATTTTTATTATTGTTTTTGTTAAGTACTTTTTTAAAATGACCTACCTCTCCACCAACACAAATAATCCCAATCAGACCAAATTAAAAGATACTCAGGTTTAAAGGATGTCAGCACTCCTGGTGGCCGGGGGAAACACGGAGAGGTAAAGAGGGCAGTTTAAATAGCCTGTGGGGGTGCTCTTGACCCTCCCTGTGGAGGGGTCACGGTTGGT